TGGTCGCCTGTGAACTGGCCGTTTTGTGTGTTAGAATCATTTTTATTTTTTTTAATGTTGACGTGGCCCCTGTTGTGGATGGCCTTAGTAGCTCATAAAATTGTGTTTGCTTTGACTTTTCACTCTTAAATAAATGTTTTTATGCATAATATTAAATAAGAACATATTATTTATCTTATGATATATCATATCAAACTATATAAAAAACTCAAAATCAAGCAAAGCCATGAAGGCATTGAGCATCGCATTATTTAACCCCTAATAATGTTACTCTTAACTATTACTACATGCAAAATACAACACAAGAGTTTGTTATTGTTCATCATTTTTATGGTTTAAAAATATTAAATTAAATATTTATTTTATTATTTTTACATTATATAAAATTTATTTTTTTATATTCAAAATATTACATAAACATCTATTCATATTATATAAACATTTATTAACATCAATCTTTTACTATTTATAACCCCAAACACAAGTCTTACTATTAGGTTATGTCGAAGGTTTACCCAGTGCACACCTCTGATAGCAGTTGCGAGTTCCTATGTCATGAAAAAAAAAAGAATAGTGTGATACCTTGGTCTGCAAGCTACGCAAGACTCCCATGTCATTAAAAAAAGAAATGATAGTGTGACACCCCGGTCTGCAAGTCACGCAAGACTCAGCGTGTCGAGATCATAGACTAACCCCACAGGTCACTACGAGTCCTTGCAGCACGCTTCTGTAATCACTTACGCGCACTTGGAAAACTTCCCAAAGGGTCATTCATCATTAAATTACTCTAGGGCAAGCACACTTAACTTCATCATTAAATTACTCTAGGGCAAGCACACTTAACTCTAAAGTTCTTTCAGTAGAGCTTCCGAAAAGGAATGTGCACATTGTTGACATGAGTAGTCTATTCAATCCATTTAATTACTATTCAGTCTCGGATGGTCTGGCATCGGCTCATCCACGGGAGTTGGCCTAGCAGCGACCAAATTATGGGGGTATTACATCATCTCGCACTTAAGAATGCAACATCCTTATTATACTCCAAGAATCTATCAACTGCTAGGCCCTTCAACAATCTGGTCGACAACTATGGGTTGTTGCAGGTCGGCTTTGATACCAGCTGTGACACCCCGGATTTCAAGTCCTTCCAACATGTTTTTTACCCCACTCATGCGTACCCTGAGAGACTTCCGAAGGGGTCACCCATGATCAAATTACTTTAGGGCAAACACGTTCAACTCTAGAGTTCTTTCAGTAAGGCTTCCGAAAAAGAATGTACACATAGTTGACATGATTAGTCTATTTAGTCTCGAATGATTTGGCATCGGCTCATTCAAAGGAGTTGGCCTAGCACCGGCTCAACTCCGGGGGTATTATAGGTAGTGACACTTTGCGAAAATACTAAGTAAACTTTTCCAAGTATAAAATACAACAAATTATATTATATATATATTGGGTTTATTTATTTTGTGTTTTCTGGATTATTTCTATGTTAAGTATAAAAAATTATACTGTTAATATAAAAAATAATATTTTGTATTGAATTGTTGACTTTTTAAGTAGATATAATATATATAATATTTTTTAATAATATTTATTAGAAATCATATCGGTAAAAAATTGTGAGTGACCATAGATATGAAAGATGTTATCCTTCTATGGATATAAAAAAGTCAGATATTCCATAAACTATTTAACGGCATCACAATGAGTGATTAAACTAACATATATTTTAAATAGAATTCTTTATTTGCAAGAATAATCGAGAGTCATTACACAATCAATCATCGTAATATACATAAGTTTCTAAGGAATAATCTTTATCTAAATGACTGATTTTACTTATACTTCGAAGATATATCATGATTGCCTTTAACCATTCAAAATAATTGGATTCATTTAGGCTTGGACCACATGGATTCCCTAACCTGCTTTAGTAGAATTATGGCCCTACTTTATTGTTTGATTTTTTTTTTTTTTTTTATCTCTCTTGTGTACGGGGTATGTCGGTGAATTCTATTGTATTGTTGAACTTACATCTATGTTGCCACCACCCTTTTTTTTTTTTTTATCATTCTTGTATAATAAAATTGGGCTTGACATGATTTTATGTTGGCCTAAAGTCATTTGCATTGTATTTTAGTTTTAGTTTTTTTTTTTTTTTGGGCATTCTTGTTTTGTTTTTAGTGCATGGTAGAGCAAATGAAATGCTTTGTTTAGTATGACTTAAACAAGATGTTGTGATTTGTCATATTAGAATGCCTCACAGTTATCGCCTTCACGGATTTGACCATGATAGAAGAGCTTGCTATGCAGTGACAGAAGCAACAACAAAAAAAAAAAAGATGAAGAAGACGTAGCAAAACTGTTTGCTATGTACGACAATCATAGCATTTCATGTAACATTATTTTTGGGGCCGATGTCATGCTCCACTTTCATGCTATCTAGATAGAGTTTTATTAACAAGCTATTGAATGACTATGCATGCATGAAATATTTCTTTTGTATAAATAAGTTCATTTTTTATTTTATTGAAATGGTAAGGCTCCAATTAATTGATGAAAGCCCGCAACAATGTCTTTCCCCATACAATTCAATTGCAATGTTTCCGTACACAATTGGATATTCAATGCGGCTACATGTGATTGCGAAGCGCTTCCAACATGCAACAGAAATCATGTTCCACCATGTTGATATGGTCAGTTGTGCCCTAACCCAGATTAGTGTGCAGTTTTTTCAACCATCCGATGTCACTCTCACATCCAAATATTGTATCTTCAATCAAATGATACTAATACTTTCAGGTTCTTTCTGCAACCTATATTATAGCGTATCACAAGTTCTACGTTGTGTTTTGATTCCATTTTCATCCTATAATGTAGGATTGTGTTGGTTCCATCAACGACACCACTATTTTTACTTGTTTCTTGCTTGGACCAACCACACTTTTAGGACAAAAGGGCGAGGCATTGCAATAATGCATGATGGCAGTTGTCTTCGACTTTTACTTCCAATACATGTGTGTTGGGCACAAGGGGAGCACACACACAATGCGAGGGTCCTCGCCCATGCTATTGACGCGTCTCAAGAATTTTCATTCTTGTCACTAGGTGAATTTAAGGTGAAATTGTAATTCCATTTTACGATTTAAAATTTAGCCTCATCTGTGCGCTTAATCGTGATAGTAATACTCTTCTTTCGGGAAAGAGCTATCTAAATGATTTAGAGACTGTTTGGTTCACGGATTTGGTGAGATTTTATGGAATTTGATTTTAAAATCCAATGAATCCATGTTTGGTTAAAAATAGACGATGAAATTTAAAGTGAATGAGATTTTAAAATCTAATGAATCCATGTTTGATTAAAAATAAACGATGAAATTTAAAATGAATAAGATTTTAAAATCCTGCAAATGAAATTTTTTTTAGTAATAGGGTACCCTTATTACTTTAAAATTTCATTCCCATTGCATTTTATATTTTACCATTATACCCTCTAACCCAACAAAAAATCATATCTTCTCATTTTTTATACTATATGTATATATATATTAAATTATATTTTATTGATTTTATAAAAATATAATATTTTATTTAAATATACTATTACATATATATATTTACTTATATTTAATTATATTATTAATGATATTTTAAATAAATTAATAATGTAAATTTATTTGACTGGTGTTTAGTTTTTTATTTTTAATTTAAAGTATTTTTTTATAATAGATATAAGAATGAGTGTCGGTAGTATAAAAAAATAATATTTTGTGTTAAATTATTGTAGTTTTTAGTGAATAGATTATATATTATATATTTTGTATGAATCTACATATATATAATATTTTTTAATATTAATCGAAAACCATGTAAAAAATTATTTTATTAGAACACACCTAATTTAATAAAAAAAATAAATAAAGTTCACAAAAAATAGTTGAATGTAAAGATTAATTTATCACAATAAATAAAACTTTTTGAATGATAATTATGCCATTTAAAATATAAAAAATCTAAATTCTTCCATTAATCTGCAAAATAAACTTTGAAAAATATAAATTTCGGATAACTACACCAACTAAACACAAGATAAAATTCCAAATTGTAAATACAATAAATCGCATCAAATATAAATCATATTATAAAATTTTCAATTCCATAAAAAAACCCGTCAACCAAACAGTCCCTTAGGATACTAAAATGTGCCTCAATTCCTTACCTTGTGTGGCACGTGTTCCATTTGCAAAGTTACAGAGATTAAAATTTTATTTTATAAAATGGTACATTATATCATAAATATAATATTTAAAATATATGCCATTACCTCTGTAAATTTGCAAATATATATATATAATTTTGCAAATATTTATATTTTATTAAAAAATTAATCTTAAAAAATATATTATATCATATTAACCAAATTTATTATAAATAGGTGTTCTTACATTCAAAATATATTTATACAAAATATATATTCTTTATTAATCAAAAAATTAATAACTCAATACAAAATACTTTATCTCTAATCTAAATTTGTGTTATAATTTTTTGTTTTAGTCTTGTCACCTAAAAAATATTCTAATTTTTTTTTAGTAAAATATGATTATTTTTTTATATTATTTATTATAAAAGAAAAAAAATTGACTTTCAAATTAAAATTCGTGTTAAAAAATTTAAGTATGTAATGGAGAATATAAATTTAAATAAAAAAGTATTTTTTCATATATAACATAGAAAATACTTTAAATTAATTCAAAAAAAATTTATTATTATATTAAAAAATTTAAAACTAAACTTAAAAAATTATACCGTACCATCTAAATTTATAAAAGATAATATATTTATACTTATTATATAAAAAAAATAAAAAGAAATCTTTTAAAAAGCAAAAGGAAAAAGAAGGTCAAGATCTAATGGCCAATATTAGACTATTCAAAACTTAAAGGACTAAAAGTGCAAATTTCATTGTACAGAGTTGGAAAAGATATTAAAGACGTAAGATATATCTCAGAACCGGCAGCGATTCCTTATAGAAACCCTAGCTCCGCCGCCGCGCCTCCTCCTTCTCCGTCTCCAATTGTCCTGAGAAGCTCCTTCCTTCCTTCCGTTGTTCTCTTTGGCTTTCCATTAATATACTTATCTTCGTTTCTCTGTGTTTGGTATACTCGCTGTAATAATTTTGTGGTTGATTCGTTGTTCTATGGCACCGCCTGTCAGAGCTGCAACAGATCCAAGCCAGAGTCTCGGCGGTGGCGTAGATCTGTCGAGGCAGAACCCACCGTCGAATACCTTGTGGATTGGGAACGTGTCTCCGGCTGTATCTGAGACAGAATTGAGAGCGCTCCTCGAACAACACGGCAAGGTCGACAGTTTCACCCCATATCCGTCTCGGAACTACGCTTTCGTTTATTTCAGAGAAATCGAAGTTGCGAAAACCGTTAAGAAGGTTATGCAGGGGTTCTTGCTCCGAGGAAGTCCGTTGAAGATAGAGTTTGCGAAACCGGTTCGTTATTTTGCGATTTTTCTTGTTTTCTATTTTTTGAGAATCGTTTCATGTAATTACTTGCGGGAATCATACTCTGGTTTTCATGAATTTGGTTCTGTATATCAGACAAAGCAAACGGAAGCGGACGCTAATCTGAAATTACTCACGATTCTAGAATTTAAACGTTTATTCGTATCTTTTTTTTTTTTTCTTCCTGTCTGAGTGATTAGATCTGCCTGTTTTCCTTTGAATTGGATATATTAATGGCTACAATGCTGGTTCGACAACATATAAGCATAGACTGAAGCTGAACTTTATCATTTACTGTCTGAACGCCACAAAGATGGGATGTTGAAACTCAAATCTAGTTATTTTCTGTGCCTCTTTTTGAATTGAACTTCATAATAATCGGCTAAAATTTTGTGCAAAGATATATGCAAAGAGGGGTCCGAATCTTCCAAAACATGATCCTGTTCCTTTTAAACAAAAGTATTTAAATAAGCTCTAGGTCACAAGTACATTGGCATATTGGAAAATGAACTTCAGTGCCTAATTTATCTTAGCTTGCCCCATATTTTGATAAGATAAAGGTGTGAAGCCTTTAGTAATTTTGTAGCAAGACTTGATAACGGAACACTCTATGTTGATTTTGGGAGTAACAATAAGAAAGCTCATTTGCTAGTTTGTGTTGCAAATATATACTAGAATGATAAACTAAATGTTCATGTATTACTCGATTAATGTTACAAGCATTTCAAGTTCTTAATTATAAATTCCATTAAATTGGAACAAGAAGCTTGAATTTATATAGATATTCAATAATTTTCAGTTTCTAAGACAAGCTTGGTTAAGCATTAACCACATATGCTTGATACATCAAAAATTGTTTTTGTCAAAGGTGAAATAAGCATATGGTGTCATATGCCGTAGCAAGTCATATCTTGGAGCAATGGCGAATTTTAAGTTGATTACCTTTGGATTGGGATCAATAAATAGTCTATGCTTTACAAGTCTATGGCATTTGGTGAATGCTACGTTTCAGTATCACCCAAACCTCTTATCTAATATTATGAGATTTAAATCAATTATATGACTGGTTAGATTCTTCTACAAAACTATGTTCAATAGAGTAAATATTGCCTAGGCAATATATATGTGTGCTGAAGGTCAAAATTGAATCTGGTGTTTTTTCGTGCAGTTTTTTGGAAGTTAAGCTTTGCCATTGTCTGATTATCATCCATATAATGGTGATCTTAAATGTAAGAGGTGGTGTGTGCACGTGCTAGAATTTCCTGATCTGTATGGTCTTTTTAAACAACGCCCTAGAGTTCTATTAGCAGCCTAATATTAACTTTAGGGTTCAATGAGCAATCCATTGCAATCGAAAATAAAGAAAAGGAAACTTTGATGCCTACCTATTCTCTATTGGTAGGACACCCTAAACCAAAGTGGGCTATTACATTCCATAATGATGAATGATTTGAATCCTACTCAATGTTAGTTGAAATAATTTTGATCTCTATAAAGATCAACGCCATATTGAAGTATAGAAGCACCGATGCAATGAGGGGGCATAACCAACTGAGAGGTTTGTTTTGGGCAACACATATTATGTCAAACTTGTAACCTTTGCATTTCTCAACTCAACATATGTAGTTTGTACCTAGTCATTCAAGCTAACGGAATACTTCAAGGGTGTTTCCCATTTTATACTATATGCAATCTACTGTGAAAGAATTTTTTCTCATTAAACAAACATCACCTCCAAACAATATTTTGAATTCAAAAAACGACATCCAACATTTGTTTTTCATTTAAAAAATTTAGAATTCAAAACGCTTAGAAACATCCAAAACACATTAAATATTGCATTTTTGATAAAATAGAGGGGATATCTTATGTGCCTGCAAAATAAGGTGCACATTCAAAATCATCCACTTGATTGATTTTGAGAACACCTTTGAAATTTTCAGACTAAATATGTATAATTTCACATTCATTGAAATTGAAGCTAACCTAATTCCATAGTATTTGAAACTGCAGCATCTGAACCCCAATTCAAACAAATATGCTATCCATTAATAATCGAGGAAACCCCCTCCCCCCCCCCCCCCCCCCCAAATCAACTTTCGAGCCCCAGTACTGTTACTAGGAGGCTTGTGCAGATCTAGTCTAGTTCCAACTGCACTCCACAAGGATCTCTAATGAGTGCATTTTCGTTCTCTTAAAAGAGTATCCACGTCTAACTTCTTAAGAACCAAATGATCAGTTGAAGCAAAAAATTGTAAATATATAGAGATAACAGACCCCAAATAATCTAATATAAAATAATAAGCCCAATCAAAATTAATTTAGATTCTCAAATATGACATTTTTCACTCATCTTCATGAATTGGGAACACTATCCCCTTTTGAATTTGGCATCATAATTGACCTCTCCACTATTTGATTTATATTGTTCAAACCAAGTTTTATGAAGACCTTTAAATTGAAGTCTTGAACTGATACTGTTATTCATGCTCAAACCTTGGTGGAACAAAGGAATAAATGTTTTTGATTGTTTTCCGCAACCCACACACTGGTTGAACCTGCTTTTGCTGACATCATAGCAATGGTGAAGGCTAGGTGCACGGTAGCATGTAATGAGTCTTCTAATTAGGCCTTTGAAACTTGGTGAGAGTGACAATGGACCACCAATTATTATATTCATGAATAATGGACTTGTACTAATGAAACTATCCATCTAATTGTTATTTCCCTCAATAGGTTTTGAAATTGCTATTTTTATGATTACACTACCATCCAAATTATATCTGTAGCCTGAGCACTTTCATATTCTAATTAATACAAATGCTTTCATATTTCAACTTATGCAAATCCCTAAAGTGAATTTTGTTTTGTCCCCTCTAAAGAATTGGAAAAAAAATCTGAAGTTATCTTTAAAGCATGTCTAATGGATGATCATCCTTTACACATATATGAAGATAGTTGAGTGTAAAGCCAGCTATTAACTATAACATATGGGTTTTAAGACTTATTTTATCAGGCATGGACTCATGGAGTAATCTAACAAGAGAGAACTTAGCTTCTGTTAGTGATCCCATGCCTGCTATTTTGCTGGGAAGGAGTACTCTAATTTAGATTTGCGTTCAAGACACAAGTTAATCTGTCATCCTTTGAGATTCTTGTTTCCAGTTTACTAGTTTTTTCATATAGGCTTGATTGAGCAATGCCTGAACTGCCAGCTGAATATTCCGTTAGTTATATCCAATGTGAAATAGTTAGCAATTGTTATAAACTTAAAATAATGTAGGAATGCAAGACAGAAAGGAGCTGAACCTTTTTGATATTTACTCACACTACATTGTTTAGTAAGGTATTAAGAGAGTGGCCTTCATAGCACTTGTCTTGGTTTCTTGTTTTAATTTTCATCATTCTTAAGAAAATGAATGTAATTCAAATAGTATCTTGTAGTAACTAATAAAATTATGTTCTTTGCGCACACAGAATGAATATTATATTTTAAATTGTTGAACAGTTGAGAATTGTATTGCTGGCTAACATAGAATTTGAGAGAGATTGCATATTGCTCTTGCACTTGTCTATGCAAGCTGGCTAGATCATGATAGATTTCCATTGTATCAGTGGTTAGCATTGGTGGCTTCCTCCATATGCTTGGAATACTTTTTTCTTACATATGGTAGTAATACTTGAGAATGCTTCATTATGTATAAAGTAGACCTTGTACAATAAGATTTGACTCACTGTATTGTCTAGGAGTCACAACTTTAAGTTTGTCTGTATGATGATCCATATAATATAGCATGCTACGTAATCATTATGTACATTAAATTAGGAAATAACACATCAACTCATGAAAGATAGCTTGATATATTATAATCGAAAATTGCTGGTGTTTGAATTTATACATGATATGAAGCACTATTTAGTATGTTGTGTTGATTTGCTCATTATGTTTACCTGTCAATCTGTTTGGAATCCACATATTTTGTATTTATTTTTCTATATGTTATTATTTTTTGGTTTATACTGTTATTGTCAAAATGTTTACTCGGGAATGTTTAATTGAGCTTATTCTCCAGGCTAAACCATGTAAGAGTTTATGGGTGGCTGGGATAAGCCCTTCTGTTTCCAAAGAAGAATTGGAAAAAGAGTTCTTAAGGTTTGGCAACATCCAGGAGCTCAGATTCCTTAGAGATCGAAACACTGCATATATAGATTATGTCAGATTGGAGGATGCTACCCAAGCACTGAAAGCCATGAATAGGAAAGAAATTGGTGGTGCTCACATTCGAGTTGATTATCTTAGGTCACACTCATCCAGGAAAGTAAGTTAACTTTTAATGATTGTATAAGATCCTTTCACATTGTTTGCATTTTGATCTAGTGAAATAATGTATGGCTTAATGAATTTCTAAAGCTATGAATATTTTGGTGTGCGTATGTAATGATAATAATATGAGTGTCAGCATGTACGTTTGTTGTGGCACGAGATTGGTCGCTTTTTGTATTTCTATGTTTTAAGATAAAATGATCTTGTGCCACTGCTTTAGTAATGATTAGTTTATATGATAGTTCATATATTTGCTCAAATTTATGTATATTGAAAGAGTTGTGCTAATGAAGTGTGAATGTTTGTGTCTATATATTTGCCTGAAGTTGTGTTTACAAATAAAATATTTTAAGTTGTGTATATTGAGCATATATACATAATATAAAATGTTGTTTTAGTATGTGTTTAGTGTGAGGTACTGCTAATCAGACAATTCCTGTATCCTACTGCCAATCTCATATATTTCAATACTAGTGTGTGCAAGGATTATATTTTTCTTTTTGTTGCTGCTTAACTGATTGTAGATATTTTAATAAGTGATCCTCTAGAACACTTCTAATTTGCACATGGATGCATTGAAGGCCCCTTTTGTACCCTTTTTCTTGGAGTTCATTGTTTGTAGAGTTTTATGGTGGTTAGGTGACCTGTCCTAGAAACTTGAAATGCTATCCAATTTTTGCAGGAGTTCGGCTCTGACCCAAGGGAAGTTCATTTTTTAAGTAGAAACATGGGACTTGCAGATTTACACTGGATGGGAGAAGATGCCTTGATCACTCATCCTGAGCATATCCTTCCTGGGACAAAGATGAAAAGTGTAAGTTCAAATTCATTACTTTAACTTTTATAAGAGTATGCTTGAGATCCTAGAACGTATCCTGTGTGGTAGCGTTAAAGCTATTGAATATGTGAAATTGTATTATCAGCTTTATGTTTCCTCTTTGAAAGATAGTTTGGACAACATATTACTGTTGCATGCCCCCTTGGCAATTCATTGTATTTATTATTTGATTTTTGCATTCTTTAATGGTTGTTCTCTTCCACCTCTCCTTCTGTGGTTTTCTGCAGCATTTAATGCTAGCAGGATCAGATGCACTGCCTAGTAGAGTTCTATTGATAAGCTATCCGCCTTCTATTGCTGTTGACGAAGATATGCTTCACAATGCAATGATTTTGTTTGGGGAAATCGAGGGGATAAAGACAGTTATTGAGAGGAATTGTGCACTTGTGGAATTCCGAAGTGTAGAAGAAGCTAGGTGTGCCAAAGAGGGTTTGCAGGGTAAACTCTTCAATGATCCTAGAATAAGAATAGATTATTACAATGTTGAATTTCCGGCAGTGAGAGGACAAGTAGGTGATCCACTTCAACCACTTCAGATGGACTTTATTGGTCTGCACCGCGCTGTTTTGATAGGAAATAATCCAGGGCATGCATCATCTATTGGAATACATGGACCTGATGCTTATACAAGGCCATCATTAGCACATGCACTTCATGGGCTGGATGTTGTTGACCTTTCTGCTGTTCACAAATTGCAAAATCCCAGCCCTCGAAACCTGATGGGAGGTCCTACTTGGCGGTCATCTCCCACATCCAGATTAGTTTCTTCTCCTTCTGAAACTCTTAATGCACCAAAGAGGTCTGCATCTGGTGCTTGGGATGTTTATGATGCTCTGAAGAATGAATCCAAAAAACCAAGGTTTGATGCTTCCTTTCCCACTGAAAATCAAAGTGGATTGGATGAGCGATATGGGCAGAGGTCTATTAATAGTGAGGCCCCTTCTAGTTCTATAACAAGGGCCACAACTGTGGGGCGAAAGCGACATGCTGACAATGACTGCATTTGGAGGGGTCTTATTGCAAAGGGTGGAACACCGGTGTGTCAGGCTCGATGTGTTCCTATAGAGGATGGTCTTGATGCTGAGATGTAAGTATGATTTCTGAATTATTTTCATAAATCACATTTTAAATTTTTGCATTGGTGAGAAATATGGGTTTGTTAGAAGATGCATGAATTGTGAATCATTGAAATTGGTGATATTGGTCGTTAATTTAAATGATTCATATGTCAATATGGTAGCTTTTGATCAGTTATTGGTGGAATGGTGGTACATACAATTGTAAAACACAGTCCAAAAATTGTAATTTCAGTGTATTGAGACTCTTATTGAATGAGGAATGCAGTATGGATTACTGGTGGAGAAACACAGCCTTCTGAAGTCTGAACTATACTCAATTTGGTGACATTAGCAGCAATCCCTTGCTTTAGATTCAATTCCATACACGGATGTTGTTATCTGTTGCCATGCTATTCTCTTATAAAATTTTATTGAGTTGCAAGATCATAATTGATGAACTTAACTTACGTTTTAATATTATCAGTTTTTGAATTGTGAACCATGAACATATAACTATACTAAAATTTTTCTTAACTTCTCCAAACTTTGTTTGGTTTGCAGACCTTCTGTGGTTAACATCTCTGCACGGACTGGGCTGGATTTGTTGAGTCAACGTTATGAGGATGCTATTGGATTTAATATAGTGTTTTTCTTGCCTGATAGTGAGGAAGATTTTGCATCCTATACCGAATTTCTGAGATACTTGGGCTCAAGAGAGAGAGCAGGTGTGGCGAAATTTGATGATGGAACCACCTTATTTTTGGTGCCGCCGTCTGATTTTCTGACAAAAGTTCTCAAAGTGTCTGGTCCAGAACGCCTTTATGGAGTAGTTTTGAAGTTTCCTCAAGCTGCCCCTAATGTGACTACTATGAATTCCCAGTCAATTCATCATCAATATGCAGATCTTCCAAAAATGACTACCTTGTCCGCAGGATACAATGTTGTTCCCCGAGTTGAGCGGGTTTTGCCTTCGGATAATTCCAGGGCTCGGTCCGATGATTCTAAAGTGCCTTCTAAAAATGTCCTTCCTGTTACAAGCTCTCTCCCTGCTGTCTCTGTTCCCCCAGCTCCCGTAGCATCCCAGGCCGGTCTTACATTGACTCCTGAACTTATTGCTACTCTAACTTCATTGCTACCTGCATCGAGTACTTCTGGTTCACAACCTGCCACTGTACAGCAGACTCCCCCAGTTATGGGTACACCAGATGTTGATATGGCAGCCAATCCTAATGTTGGCCATTGGAAGCAGAATCAGGCTCTAGTGCAAAATTCTCAGCTTGTGCAACAGCCAGGTTATCATGTGAATCCCCAATTGCAGCAACTTCAAGCAGGTCAGGGTACTCATGTAATTCCTAATCTGGCTGGTGGCCATTACCATCAGGCAGTAAATTCGTATAGCCAGACAATGACCACCGCTCAAGCTCCCGGATCATCTAAATCTATGCCTCCTGCAATTCCCCTGCAAAATTTGCCAGTTTCTGCAGGACCAGACCCCAACCTGCATTATCAACATGGGAGTTCTCAGGTGGTTCCGAGGGGTCAGGTTGTAGACAATCGAACGGATGCCCTTAGGTTATATAATCCTTCTGTTGTCCAGCAACCAGCGTATTCGTCAGTTCCATTATCCAATCAAGTGCAAGTTAATAATGTTCCTCAGTCACAGCCATATATGCCGCTGCCTTCTGATGTTGATGTCTCACATCAAAGTCAGGCACTTCAGACTGCTCCATTTTTGGTTTCTCAGGAACAACCCGAAACTGAAGCTGATAAAAACGAGCGATATAAAACAACCCTGTTATTTGCAGCCAATCTCCTTTCTCGGATACACCAACCGGAGCCGGGTGCAGGGAACCATTAATGCTTGCTTCATTTATCAGGTAACAATTCAAACCCTGTTGGTTGTTTTCTCATTTTATTGGTGGTTTTATGCTGCTGGTATGTTTCCTTCTTGCCTTCTCATGTTAGATTTAATTTACTGTTTGATATCTTGTACTTCCTGATATTAAATAGTATGATGGAAAAAGTAGATTTATTTGGGTGTAGGTGGGGGGAGGGGTAACTGTTTGCAGTGTAGAATTTTCAAGATCATAATAGCTTTTTCGGAAACACTTGGCTCTATAGTTGAGTAGTTAATGGCCTTATTTGTCAGTAGGCACTTTCTGAGAAAAAAGGATTTTAGTTTGGAATTAGGAAAGCCATTACTTTTTAGGTTCATTATGACTTAATAATATTTGCAATCTTGAAGTTAAGGTTAGTGATGCCAGTTGTCTTTGTTATTCATGTTCCTTGTCACATCAAGCAACCATAGATTTTCTGGTTCTAATAGACTTCTACAATTCAACTAACAAAAATACCTCCAAAGCTTAGGAAACTTTAATTTGTTTTCCCTGCAATTGAATCTTGACTACATGTATGATAAGCTCCATGAATGACACTTTCGACTTAGTTTTGTGTCTCTAATCATTTGAACGATTAAAGACAGTCCTCACACCCTACTAAGAGTCATCAAAGACTTGCCATATAGACATGTTGGCCTCTAAGTTATATGATCCCTCGTATCTTTTATTATTGTTTTCTTTCCCCTTTGTACTGGACAAGTTTCCTACTGCCAAAGAGAGTCCATCTCCAATAGTCCCCATCCTAAGAGGCTTGTTCGTTATTAGTAAGATTAAGGTTCATGGAACGAGCCATGAAGTGGGCAATTTGATAATTGGATTTTCTAGGGTTGAATAGATCTACCGCAGGGTCACATTAGGTATGTTGATATGTCAAAATTTGCGCACTCAATTCGGTGGCAGCCAACATAGGAGTCCTCTTTATTGTACAATGTGGCTAAATTGCTAGTGTGTTTGAGTGTCGTGTGTTCTATGAGGGAATTTTCTCGGGGATGGGGGTTTCGATATTACTTTCTTGCCTGTTTTTATTTAAATTTATGTTTAATTATGTGTTTTCCTGTTAGTTAGGTACAACATATAGTTTTCTAATACATGATTTTGTTGGTAGATGTAAGTTAACTCTTTGGTATTTGTTTGTTGTTTAATACTATGGACGAGTCTGTTTATTTGTCGTGGCTTGTTACAAATACAAAACCTTTAATTTATACACCTCTACTGTTAATGTGCTATTGCATTAGGTAATATTTAGTACTAGGCTTTATCCTCCGTAGTTCGTATCTAAAACTTTTCTCCGTAAATCTGCCATTGTTTTTCTTGTATGTTTTCTGGTTGCGGTATTTTCTGAAAATATGTTTGCAACTACATATATACATACACAAGCCAGTTATATTTTCAAACATAACTAACAACAAACGAAGCCTGGATTGTAAGGAAAACATTCGGGATATTGTTTTTGTAGTTAATACATAGGTTTTACACGACAGAATCAATGCAAATACAAATCTTTTAACAGTGTCTTCGTGTTGTGCGACAACACAAGTAGACAATCTATGCATACATTAGTGCTTGATTTGTTTTTTCACATCTGCTCAATGCTGCTACCACCTCAAACAACAACCCGACCTCTCCCAACCCCAAACCGACGCTTAGCTATCTTTATATATATATATATATAGTGTAGTTCTTTTAGTTGGTAATATTACTTGGTAGTTGGACCGGCAAACATTGGGTCACAACTGCTTTGATACTACCTTCTTTAATTTCCTACGAGAAGCTTGAGCTCGGCGCCCAAACTCACTTTTCTTTACCTTTCAACAATGAACCAGCCACGTACAGAAAAAAGAAAATAATCTTTTGTTTTTTTTTAAGATATAATTCCGAATTCAAATCTATGGTCACTAGGTTTAACATTGGCAGATTATATAAATGCCTATTAGTTCACTATGATCAACGTTTGATTTTGAATATATAAATAAAATATATTTTTTGGGGTAAAGTGCAATTTTTATGAAGCTCGATGTTTTTCAGTGTCTGGCCGGTTGTGTTTTTGGGTACCTTAAATGCCAAATTTTCGTATTGTTTATAATTAGAAAATAATTCTTCAAAATCTCATTGAAAATTGGGTTCTGTACGACAACCTATCCACCACCAATTTAAACTTAAAATGTCAACAATATTATTGTCCTTATACTAAACCTATAAAGGGGATTCTTTCTTTTATTATTATTATTATAAAAAGTGTAGGAAATAAACGAGGGCTGGCCAATAATAATAATAATAAATAATAATAGTAATAATAATAATAATAATATAATAATAATAATAATAATAATAATAATAATTCCAAGATCGAGGTGTTGTGTTGGTCAAATTTGACCCTTCACGGAAGGATACCTTTTAAGAGTGGACCTTCCCCATCCACATCCTGGCCCTTTTGTCTGCACCTGAAATGCAACTTTTCTTTTCTACTAAAATCAAGCAAATCTTTCCTGTTCCTTTTTCATCTGTAATTTTTTATTTTTTAATAGGCAAATGAAAAGAAAGTAACATTGGATTTTGCTTAACATTGGATTTTTTTTTTTTTTTTTTGAATATGGAAAGTAAATTGAGGACTGTTTTAAAACAGTGCAATAGATTCTCTGTTTTCTGTCATTAATTAATTAAATTCGACATTTGAACAAACAAACAAAAGAACATATCTAAACACGGGTGTGCATGGACTTTGATTGTAGGGAGGGAGGGTGCAACGGATGGATTTCCACCCCAACAACCAGAACGGTTCCAATGCCAACGTAGTAATTGGGAATGAATGCCGTCTGTCTATTCAATTCGACTCGACTTGACTCGACTCGTTATCTTCTCAAACACAAGGCAACCATTATTCCCTATCACTCTTTTCAACTTGGGTTTCTTTTGAACTTACTGTTTGCTCTGGACTTTGACTGAATTGGATATTTTGCAAGAAACTCCTTTTGGCAATATATATGTTGTTTATGTAAATTTTAACTATGAAAATGGCTGAAATTAATCCATAAAGAAAACCACCCCTCCCTCTAATAAACAAGTCAATAGCTTCTGATAAAAAATAAACAATAAAAATTAAGTCAATAGCTTCTGATAAAAAATAAACAATAAAAATTAAGTCAATAGCTTCCCTAATACTAATATTAGCATAGCTTATGGAAAATGACCAAAACGAATTAATTGATAAAGTAAATGGTTTCCTTTGCCTATGCGGGTGGATGAGTTTTTATTTTTGAATTTGTATTTGTATTATTTATTTTATATAATAATATATACATATATATTTATATATATTAAAAAAATTGATAACCCGATATATTTAATAATCTTATTTTTCATTAGAGTTATAGCATATTTTTATTATCTTCTTTTTACTTACTAAAATATCACTATAGTATAATTTAAGGGTATTTTAGAACTTTAATATGTTTCTTTAGAATCATTTTTCAAAATTTAATATTTGGGTATTTTAGAACTTTAATATGTTTCTTTAAAATAATTTTTTAAATTTTACTATTTGGACTTTGCATTTCCCGAAAAACATACATTTTTTCTTTTTCACAAAACATCCATCAAACATTATTTTCATATTAAACCTAAATCAAAATTTTCCAAAGTCATCAAAAGAAACACACTTTGTGTTATACAATTCACTCGTTAATATAATATATATATATCTATCTAAAAAATTTTAAAATATTCTTTTGAAATAATTCATGTAAGACGAAGTGAGCATATATATATATATTTTCATTAATACATTATCTCAATTTTTGAGCTAAAATATTCTATTAAATTTTATACTTTTTAAAGTTAATTTTTAAAAACCTTCTTAAAATAATATTATGAAATATTAAATCCAATCAATATGTAAACACACAAGCACAAATCAAGCACGCAGTTTGGCGTTTGGGCGTGTGTTGTGTTTTTCTTTTTTTTTTTTTCTTTTCAAATAAAAAGCAATATTATTCAATATAGATTTTTTATAAATATAAAATATTTTTCATCATAAAATAACACATCAAAATACTATTTAAATTAAAATTTAATTTCAAATAAAAAGAAACCAGCCTTTTTGTTAGAGAGCAATTTTATTTTGCTTTTGGTATATCATGTTTGAATATTTTAGATGAAATTATTCTTCAATGAGATGTTTTAAATAACAAATATATTATTTTACAAGTAAATAAATAAATAGTAAAATGAACGGTATAAAAATATACTCTTGTTCCAATTCAAAGTATAATTTTACCATTTTCGTATGTTTCATTTCAAAATATGATTTTTTTTATTTTAGAAAAAGTAATCATAAATTAATACTAAAATACGTTTAATTTTTACTTAATTACAAATATATTATTACATATACAATTATTTTATAGATAAATTCAAAGGACAAAAAGGTTAAAAATCTCTTACATAATTCTAGTGATTAATAAAATATTATTATTTTTTAATTTATTATAAAACTATAAAGAGCTCTTTGAAGTGGGAGAGGGGAAGTATTATTTATAAAGTAATATTGATATTAAGTATATATATATGATTATTGAAGTATGTCAGACCTTTTGTCCAGTTAGATCCACTCTAACTTAATACAAACATACCCATAAATGCAGCCCGAGTGATACCAAGCCTTGGGCCGTGACCGAAGCCCACAATCCGTGACCGAAGCCCACGACCCGACTACTGGATCCGCATCTCTTTTATGTCACCTTCATCTTCATATCGATATACATTCATATCATTCTTTCATATCACTTTCTCTCTCTAGCGCATCAATTTTCGGCGACGTATTTCCGACAGTTGCCTTCCTATTGTACCGTGAAAATCCTTAACATGATACTTTCCCTTGTTTTGTTGATTTGAACGACAAAGGACTTTTTCAATGTAGTAGGCTTATGTGCATTTCGTGTTGCCTTGTTTTTGGCTTGTGGGGATACTTTTTTTGTGTCTCGTAGGTTGTGGACCAGTTTACTTATGTTCGCGGTGATTTTTTGGTGTGTATTATGTCGATTATGTGTTTCGAATGGTTTTGGAAGCTGAACCTAAAACTAAAATTAGTTCAAAATTTATTTCTATTTTTTGTTGGTTTTTCTTAATAAAAACAAGTATCGATCTTTATATTTCATAACAAGGTATGTTCAGATTATTTTTAATAATATACATATATCTCTATATATAATACCGTAGCATAATAGTTACCCAAAAGCAATTTCTCCTTTCAATTTGAAATCAAACATTCAAACACAGTATTAAACGATATCCAAACAAACCGGTAATAATTTGTTCATCATTAAAATTGATTGATTACCAAAGTTGAACAATTTATTTGATATATCTATTATTCAAATGCATTTTGAATAAATTCGCTATCAATCAAGTACCACAGCAACCCTGGTTTGTGTCACAAGTTAACTTTCTTCATCGAAGTAACCGTGCGCCCCTTAGCAATTCACTCCCGTCGGCTGCTAAGGCAAGCTTCCCAACTCGGCCAAGCACCACAAAAGCCAAAGGCTTTCTAGAGAGAGAACTAGAGAGAGAAAATGTGGAGAAAAATGCTTTTGATTGCTAAGACTTGGATGATTTACAAATAAGGTGCAAGCACCTATTTATACAAGCCAAATGAGTAAATGTTATCTCCTCAACTACCGAATTAATGTCATCTACCAACAATCAACCATCAACCCCCAACTACCTCATTAATGCTAAGTTCTACCACATTCCGGAACCTTCTAGAAGATGCTAGTGAGTTTGAGTGAAGTGTTTGGCATAATGAAAAAGTACTAAGTGTAGAAAAACCACCGCCATGTGACCGCTCGAAAGTCCGACCGTGACAACTCTCCCCCACCTAAACCTTGACGTCCTCGTCAAGTGCTCGCTCGGTACGCCTCGATGTGGTTTTTGAATTGCCATAGGTCTAGTTCTTTCTCCCATGATGCCTCGCTATCCGGCTCGTCCTTCCACCGGACTAAGTACTCGGTCCAACGGAGTGTCCCCCGTTTGCCCATCACACGATCCGCCATGATCTCCGCAATGTCTTTCTCGTAGGACACCGTCGTCGTCAGTGGAGCGCGGTGTGACTCGTTCCGGGACGGATCCTCCCCATCCTTGTGATATAGCTTCAATAAGCTCACGTGAAAGACTGGGTGGATTTTGAAGTTGTCGGGTAGGTTTAGTCGGTACGATCGCGTGCTGACCTTCTTCTCCACCTCGAACGGTCCTTCGTACTTCCGTGTCAAGCGTTTGTGCACTTGACGGATCGCCTTTACATTTCTCCCCAACATTAGGAGCAACACTTGGTCCCCGACCTCGAAGTCCCATGGGCGTCGCTTGTCGTCCGGCCACTTCTTCATCCGTTTCGAGGTCTTCGCCAACTATGCCCTTGCTATCTCGTGCTCCTCGTTCCATCCTTTAGTAAGTTTGTATGCCGTCGGACTCGCTCCTTCGTATCCTCGTGCCAACTCGTGAGGCGTCGTCGGTTGTTGCCCCGTCACCAACTCGAAAGGACTCCGATTGGTAGACTCGCTACGCTGCAAGTTATAAGAGAATTGTGCAACATCAAGTAAACGAGCCTAATCGGTTTGGTTGGCACTTACAAAGTGTCAGAGGTATATCTTCAACAAGTGATTCGTTCACTCAGTTTGGCCATCGGTTTGCGGGTGAAAGCTCGTCGAGAAGTGGAGACTCGACCCCAAGAGCTTTAAAAGCTCCCTCTAAAAATTCCCGGTGAAGCCGGGTCGCGATCGCTAATGATATATGGAACTCCCTAATACTTGACCACGTGCTTTGATGACTCCAAATATGAGCATATTCTTAGGTTGATAAAAATGTGTATTACTTGAATTTCTGCATAAAAACCATCATAATAACTTGTAAATGACATACATTATTGATCTATATCGCTTGGCATGATCCAGATTTTGTTGTTGAGATTATTAACGATTTTTGCCCTTTTAAGCGGTAGTCTGGTGCCAGAAAAGCTAAGGCATGAGCCACAAGCGGCAACCACCTCCGTTCGCAAGCGCCCAGTATACCTCCTGGAAAAGACTAAGGCATGAGGGGTAAGCGGTAGCTTTCACCGCCCGCAAGCGACAGCCTCTCCCGCTCGCAAGCGACAGCCCACATACCCACCGCTGCAGATTTTCACCAGATTCCAACTAAGTGTTTTAACTACAGCGGTATAGCCATTTCATTTCCAGCCAACACAAGCGAGCCTACCTGCGCTGATGCTCTCCAGCTCTCCGGCAAGCGAGGAAGATCTGAGCCCTTACAATTCCATGCGATCAAAGCAAGCGCCTTGGGAGTTATGGTCAGCAACTGCTTCAACAGAAAAACTACCAGTAACCGCCTAACTGCCCAGCGGTTGGAACCGGCCAACAACCAATTGCAACCGTCCCGTTTCACCTGCTATAAATAGGGCCAGATATCTTTATCTAAAATGGATCGATACTTCGATTCTGATATACTCCTAGCAATTACTTTTCGCAATCAAGTCGTCTTTCTGTCTCTGAGAGCTTCAACCCTGTAAGGGAGTTCTCCACAGGAATGGCCAAGGGAGTAGGGATTTCCCTCATCGCTCGGCCAAGTCTTTACCGCTTTTCTTGGATTAGATTACTGTTTTCTTTTACAGTTTTGTAGTTCTAATCTTTCCTGCTTTAGTAGTAAAGAATGAAATATCTTTCATTTCTCCATACTCATTTCTTCCACACTTTATCCATACTTATATAATCTTTGAATTTAGAGAATTTCATTTCACTGGTTTAGAGCATGAGAATAATTGATTATCTGAGCCTTGTTATGCGCCAGAAGCGGTTTCAAGGTAGTTCAATGTAGTTAAGTATGCGGGAGCCTTGTCGACCTGCTTAACTACTGTTCTGAATTCAATTTTGATTAAAAAGAGGTAATAGAAGGGTAAAGCTACTAATGAGGCAGAAGTTGGGGTAATTAGAGGGGCATAGACGGTGGTCTATTAG